GTTCTTTCTTGGTTCTTTCGTCTTATGTGGTCAAGCGGTCACACTCCTGTGTCCTGGGTTCTTGTTTGTTTCGTCGTATGTGGTCAGACTCACGCGGTCACACTCCTGTGTCCTGGGTTCAAGCGGTCACACTCCTGTGTCCTGGGTCTTTCTTGTTTCTTTCGTCTTCTGTGGTCAGGCTCATGCAGTCACACTCCTGTGTCCTGAGTTCTTTCTTGTTTCTTTCGTCTTATGTAGTCAGACTCAAGCGGTCACACTGCTGTGTCCTGGATTCTTTCTTGTGACTTTCCTCTTATGTGGTCAGACTCAAGCGGTCACACTCCTGTGTCCTGGGTTCTTTCTTGCTTCTTTCGTCTTATGTGGTCAGACTCAAGCGGTCACACTCCTGTGTCCTGGGTTCTTCTTGTTTCTTTCGTCTTATGTGGTCAAGCGGTCACACTCCTGTGTCCTGGGTTCTTACGTGTTTCTTCTTATGTGGTCAGACGCAAGCGGTCAACACTCCTGTGTCCTGGGTTCTTTTTTTGTTTCTTTCGTCCTCTGTGGTCAGACTCAAGCGGTCACACTCCTGTGTCCTGGGTTCTTTCTTGTTTCTTCGTATGTGCTTAGCCTACCACTATTAATATGTATACACATATATATGTATATATACACATACATACAATGCCGGGCGCTTATGTTTATCAGAATGCGTCGAACATTCATTAGAGCTCTAACTTTTCAATGGTTCTAGTAGGGGGTACTTTAATCCCTATTCAAGACTGTTAGTATAAATAAGGGGAGCATCCCAACTTACAGGGTTTTAGTGTGTTGTGGTGTTTCAGGATTCACCCCCCCCCCCCCCCCCCCCCCCCCCCCCCCCCCCCCCCCCCCCCCCCCCCCCCCCGCCCCCATCCCAAACCTGATTCCCCTTGCAGGGCCGCTTCGGCTTCAGCCCGCAGCGAAAGATCTGGAAGCTGGCCCTTGCAAGTCAAGAGTGCAGTGCAGGCTGTATAGGGAGCTTAAGGCTTAAGGGGTTTAAGTGCGGGTTTAGGGTTTAGGGTTTTGATTTGGTGTTTTGGTTGGGGTTTAGGGTTTAGGGTTTCCAACTTGTGTTTTTTTATCTCATTAAGTGTCGGTTCTCGGAGGCAAGTCCCACAATGCTTCAGTCACTCAGGGCCTCCTGTCATGACAACACCCTCCGCAAGATGCGCATGAAGCTTTGTGCAATAGCCGAGGAAGAGGGTCCGAGGCCAGTTCGACAAGTTCGCCGAAGAGGCTTTCGGAGCTTTCTGGGTTCTCCAGCATCATTGATGTACAATTGTCATTGGCCTACTCATCTGCCGCGAGCTCTCTAACAGCCTACCGAGGTTCATGCCCTGTGAATCTCCCTCTTTGAGCCCTCTCCCCAAACTCAGAAAGTATATTTGTGAGCGGGTGGCTTTAATGCCGCGGGGCCTTAAGCGTAGACATCATGTCCCGGAATCAGGGACACAGCAACCAAACCTCAGATCGGAGATCGCCAAAATATCACATCCCAAAATCCCAAGTCCCACCCAAAGACGAGAGGTATCCTGGTTCACTGACACCTGGAAGAATCGAAACTGGCCTGGGAACCCAGTGTGCGTCGCTTGGAGCTTCAGTAGTCGGAGGTGGCTTTTTGGCATGAATTGCTCGACCTGAGAACCTCTGAATATTGGGGTCAGCAGATGTCTGTTGTTTCAAGCTCGTCAGCCTTTTGCCGGGATCAAAGGGGTCGGAGCACGCCTTGGAACACGCACAGCCACATGCAGATCCCTCGCTGCCTTGCGTGCAGCCAGCACTTTTCCTGATGCCTGCAATTTCCCGCAAGCTGCCGGCCACGCATACCTCCCCCGGCAGGCCTGACGAGTTCATCTACAGCCTGGACGCCCCCGTTCGGTGCTCGGAAGGGAGAAGCGGGGATACGGGGGTTTACGAAATAGGGGACCCCTCAAATAGACCAGGAATCCCTTGTAAGGATCCCAAAAGGCACTTCAATTGTTTGAAAACCCCCCTTACAAGCAATAAGAGTCCCCGAGTTGGGCAGTCCCCAGCGTAAACAGCCCGCAGAAGCAAGGCAATGAAGTCACTGGCAGTGAGAAATCCAGGCATCAGAGAACCTCTCGAAGCGAAAAAACACAGCAGAGTTCCCCCCCCCCCTCAGAGGTCGCAAACATCTAACGCCCAGCAGCCCACCCCCCATGACCTCACAGGTCGGCCATCTCCCACTCACGAATTGCATCCGCGGGGCGCAGGTTCTGGAGGCTCGGGGGTTGATCGAACGTCGTGGAGTGCTTTGTGCTTCTTACCCTAAGCCACTTAAGGAATGTGCCCGGAAAGGGCCCCTTCCCCCCGGAGCTGCATCACCTCATGGTGTTTTTCGGAACGAGGGGCCCCTTTAATGACCGTCTTCTTCTAAAGAAAAGCCTCTGATTTTGGTGACCCTGATCCAGAACCACCCGAGCATCTGCAAGACTTTCCGTGGTCGAGGTTTCGACGCCCTTGAATATGCGTCTGCCACACGCAAGCTGCTTGCTCAAAAATCCCTGAGTGCTGCTGCCAGGAGCTGCTAAGCCACCCTGCCATTGAAGACAGGAAGGCGCGCTGGGGGCCGGGCTTCGGCGTCTTCCGGAGCTCCCAAAGAACATCCCTAAACCCCAAACCCTGAACCCTAAAACATTCTAAACCCTAAGCCTTAAACCCTAAACCCTAAAGCATCCTAAACCCATTTCCCACTGGGCCTTCGCAACAAGTGTTGACATCGGCCTTGGAGGTTCATGGGTGGCTTGCCTTACTATATCAGTAGGGTGGCTGCAATCATGTCTGTTATAATACGCCTGGCAGAACTGAAATATATAAATATATATATGTATGTATATATATATATATGTATCACTACCCTAAATCCTTAAACCTTAATCTTTAAACCCTAAGCCCTAAACCCGTAACCCGAAACCCTGAAAAAATCTTGCAGGCTTGCCCAGCCCTCAGAAGCCCACAGAGCCTTGCAAGAGTCCCCCTTGTTTGCGGTTTAGGTTTAGGGTTTAGGGTTGTGTATAGGGTTTAGGGTTTAGGAAGTTTAGGGTTTAGGGTGGTTCAGGGGTAGCATTTCACCTTTTTGGTGAGAATGGAATCCTACTATATGTAAAAGGTGAACCTTCTTCGGACTAGGGTATTCAGCCCCTAAGAAAGGCACAGCTTGCTGGGCTCTTCCCTGGAAGCTCGGGAAATCTTGAGGTGAAGCAGAACACCGAAACCCTAAACCCTAAACCCTAAACCCTAAACCCTAAACCCTAAACCCTAAACCCTAAACCCTAAACCCTAAACCCTAAACCCTAAACAGGCCCCTTCAAAGAGCCTCGGAGGCTCGTAAAAATTATTTTGTCGCCCTTTATCCTCTAAGCCCTAGAATTCTACCCCTAAAACCCCATAGGGTTTAGGGTTCAGGGTTTAGGGTATATATATATATATATGTATAGGGTTTAGGGCCAAGCCCTCCCAAAAACCCTCAACAAAAAACCCCTCAAAACCCCGACACGCTGAAGCCCAGCAGAAGCCGACAGGCTGCAGCCGTGAAGGCTCGGCCCAGTAAGTCCGAGTCCTCGGAGTCAGGGGGCGACGATGACAAGCCGCGTGGACTCCCAGAGCTCCCCGTGTTCTTGAAATTTCTGGGGGTTTGGGGGGTTTAGGGTTTTAGGGCTTTTGGGGGGGTTTCTGGGGGTTTTAGGGGGGTTTTAGGGGATTAATGGGGTTTTCGGTTGTTTTTTTGGGTTTTGGGGCTTTGGGGTCTTTGAGTTTTAGGCCTTTAAGGCCTGAGTTTCAGGCGTTTAGGATCTCATGGTTTTAGGGTTTCATGCGTCGACTTTTTTTTGTGGCGTTAGGGCCTATAGGAATGACAGGGTTTGCGCTGGTTCTTTGCAGACCCTAAACCCTAAACCCTAAACCCTAAAGGCTTTCATCGGTGCTGGGCGGTGCCTATCTCCCTCATTCCCTTTTTAGGGGCCCCCCTGGAACCTCACAAAGCCCATAGGTAAGCTCGTGGTGCATGTTGTATACTTTCTCTGGTTGGATAGCCCTAAATCTTAAACCCTAAACCCTAAACCCTAAACCCGAAGCCCGAGACCCTAATCCTTAAGCCTGGATCTTCAACCCTATGCTTTAACTTGAATTTAAAAACCCATTCGCCATCGTAGTTTGCGCAACCTCCCCCAAACTATCCCAGCATCATCTGTGTACCTCAAAGTGGTTTTACGGGTTGAGGGATGTTAAGGGTTTAGAGCTTAGGAAGTAAGGGGTTAGGGTTAAGAGTTTTAGGCCCAGCCCCTCAACCCAACACACCCCTGGCACCTGATCCAAGCCCTGGAACCAGGCAGACTGGCAAGCGCTCCGCACTGTCAATGCTCTGAGCCCGATCCAGGAAAAAAGGCAAGGGGCGCTTTTGGGGTTGTGTATATGTAAATATATGTACAGGTTGAGACATATACATACTAATGTATCTATGTATGTATGTATGTATTTGTGTGTGTGGAATGTATGCATTCGTGCATGTGCGTATGTTTTGCAAGTATAGATGTATGCATGTATCAATACATCCGACGTGACATGAATACACGAGAAAACTTGCGAGTTTTGGGGTGCGTGTCTGAATCAGCCAGCGCATCAATAATTTCATGTGAAAAGCCTGACGCATGCAGAATGTTCCTTACATTGTGCCACGTTGCGGCCCGAGAAACCGAATAAATCACGGACTGCGCCGGAACTGCTGGGGCAAGTAGCAACCAGACATCCGAATCCTTCATGAAATCCGGAGATGACTCTTCAGCATGCAACCAAGGCAAGCCCCCACCCCCCTAAAAACCCCAGTACCTCCAATAACCCTAACAACCCAAATAACCCAAATTACCCAAATAACCCTAATACCCTGAACCAAGAAACCCAACTCCCCCGGAATCGAGTGTTTTGGAGCTTGGCGTCGGAGTCCTGTCTTCGCCCCGTCGGATGCCATGGAGACGGCCGGGGCTCCTTTGCGAAGGGTTTCCCTACTGTCCGGCTTCGAAAGAAAGTTGATAGGTTGGTTAGATTTGAGGCTGAGGATTTCGGGTATTGATGTGGCTGCAATTCTTTTGTGTGTGGGGGCAGCGCTGTGATCGGTTTCAGGGGCTGCAGGATCTCGAGCAAGGCACACGGAGGGCGCTTGCAGATTCAACAGGCTTGCTTACTTCCCCCTAAACCCTAAACCCGAAACCCTAAACCCTAAACCCCTGACCCCTAAACCCTTAGCCCTAAACCCTAAACCCCTTTTTCTATGTGGGTTGTGGGCTCAAGAAGTTGGCCCTGGGCTCTGAGTAGTTTCGAGATCGGCTTGATATACCACATACCATGGCTCGCGTGCTCGTGCTGAGCTTGGTGGCGGCGGTCGCAGCAGAGACCGTGCACGATTGCATCGAAAGCAAGTGTCGCGGCTGCGGCGGGGAGCAGTGTCAGCTCTGCCGGGAGGACAAGAACACCATCTCTGCCTGCGTGTCCTCTTGCATGGACACCATTTGCAAGGGCTGCGGCGGAGAGCAGTGCCAGCTGTGCCGAGAAGATGCCAAGACCATTGAGTCTTGCTGCTCTGAGCAGGTTCTGGCGCTTGTGACGGCAGACATCGACATGTGCAAGGCCGATGCGAAGAGCCCCTGCGATGGATTGTATGGGGCTGAAGGTCTCCAGTGCACCTGGGAGGAGTCTGTGAAGACCTGCATGGCCTCCAGCTGCCAGGGTTGTGGTGGGGAGCAGTGCCAGCTGTGCCGTGAGGATGCGCAGCGGATCGCCAGCTGCTGCGATGACCACTACCATTCGGTGGACCCTCCACAGATCTGCAAAGACTCCAAGGAGGAGGCGGTGACCAACTGCTTGGACAGCAAGTGCCACGGCTGTGGCGGGGAGCAGTGCCAGCTGTGCCGTGAAGATGCCAAAGCCGAATGTTGCACTGGGGCAATGCGGACTCCCTCCTGTGAGTCTTCCAAGGCGCTTCTTCCATAAGTGAAGGAAAGGTGGTGACAGGCGCCAGTGCCCATTGGAAGCTTGCGGGTGTGTGCTTAGATCAAGTTTGTATAAGTCAAACTTGCTTGGACATTGGACAAAAGTTCCCAGATGTCATAAGTTCCTTTTGAGCCACTCCGCGCGAGGTCTCATTCCCAGCGGATCAGGGTTACGCAGTTATGCAAGCCACGAACATCATTGACGATCGTGAATGGCGAAGGCTGTGTGCATTGCAGCTGTGACAGCCAGGCACTTCACTCGTCGGAACGCAGTAATGCCCAAGCTCGATCATCGATTTTTCCCAAGGCCCGCCCAGCGCGGTCGCCCCGGCTGCACACCCTGCGCCTGAGACAGCACTTCAGGAACCCCCCCAAAAAAATTTTAAACCAGCGGATAAGTAGAGTAGGGTGGGGTAGAGAAGAGTTGAGACACTGTCGCAGACCCTCCAGTATGCATGTACAAGCGGTCGAAGACAGAAGTCACCCTGAACAGCCTAAACCCCCCAAACCCCCCAAACCCCCTAAACTCCCTAAACCCCCTAAATCCCCTAAACCCCCTAAACCCCCTAAACCCCAAACCCCAAACCCCAAACCCTAAACACTAAACTGTAAACCGCTGCCCAGGGCCGCAGCGAAGTCGCCCTTCGATCAGGAGCCCTGATTATGGGCGGTTGGGTGCATCCTTGGTTCCTTGGTTCAGAGATTCAAGGTCATAAAGGGCCCATCCTAGAATGAAGAGTTAAGGTAGGCCCTACACCTGCTAGGGTTTAGATCTTTGTCAGTTGTTTGTTTATCTATACTATTGAAACTTATGAGTATGGTTCTGTTTCTGTTGTTCAGGCTGTTGGTCCCTTTGAGAAGTGAGTAGGGGCCAGGCTGCTCCTTCGAAATAATGGCAACATGCAAGGGATGCTTCTGGGAAGTTCTCTACACCAGGGGTTCTTGTGAAAGACGGAGCCTGATATCTGAACCAGGGTTCCTTTTTAGGGTACCCACTCATATCTCAGGTACCCCCTTCCCCCCCCCCCCCCCCCCCCAAGAAAAAATGTAAAATAATAATAAAGAAAAGGAAACCTGATGCCAGGGGCCCAAGGCCGTTAGCCTGGACCCGCTGCTCAACGACCAACTCAGCTCCATGGGGCAAGAGGCTGCAGGGAGGGTGCAGAATCTCCGAGGTTCATGCCAGGGCAAATCCTTATATATAAGCATCAAAACCGCCCCGAAAACCTCCCAAACCCGAAATGCCAAATAAGGGGTGCTTTATAAAGGCTCCAAAGCCCCAAATCCCCCCCACCCCCCGCAAAGACTCCGAAAAGGTTCGATTCCTTAGAGGGACTCAGGGAGCTGCCGAGGTGCCAAGCTCCCAAATTATTCGGGGGGTCTCTCTACAAGGAGCATTTTTTCGCGAAATAATACAAACACTTGCCACAGCATCCCCCCAAGGAAGATAACCCCCTATTTTCGCAGACCCTCTCCATCTCAAGCATCTGCGTGAAGCCCGCGACAGGGATCCACGTCTTCGCTAATTGTGCGTTCTCCGTGGCAAGCCTCCTTAAACCCTAAACCCTAGACCCTATACCCTAGACCCTGAACCCCCAAAACCCCCCCCCCCCCTTTGTTGCCAGATTAGCCACCTGCTGCTGCGAGCTGGGCCCGCCAAGGATTTCGAGGCATGAGGGGATGTTGTTGGGGCAGCCTTGTCCCCCCTGAACCCTAAACCCCAAAACTCTAAACCCCAAACCCCAAACCTTAAACCTTAAACCCCAAACCCTAAACCCCAAAACTCTAAACCCCAAACCCTAAACCCTAAACCCTCAACTCTAAACCCCAAACCCCAAACCCTAAACCCCAAACCCTAAACCCTTGTTGGGCTCGGAGCAGGGGGGCGCAGTTTTTCTGCAGAGCTGCGAGACTCCTCTGAGCCTTTTTCAAGCGCTGCGCTTCTGTGGAGACTCGTCCCAAGATCACGAAACAGGGTTTAGGGTTTAGGGTTTAGGGTTTAGGGTTTAGGGTTTAGGGTTTAGGGTTTAGGGTTTAGTGTAACAGCCCGACTCCTTCAAAAAGCCACGGTGTGTTTTTGTTCGGTCCACTGCCTTCAGCTCCTCGAGAGCCCGGGCCGCGAACCGGCTCCTCCTCCGCAGCGGAGGCCTGCTCTCGCGCAGTTGTGGTTTAGGGGTTTGGGGTTTGGGGTTTGGGGTTTACGGTTTAGGGTGTAGGGTTTGTGGTTTGGTTTAGGGTTAGGGTTTAGTGAACACTGAACAGGTGGATCTCTGATGTGAGACTTCGGTTGTGGACTCGCACTCTCTATTGGGTCAACTCTAGAAGTGAAGAGACTATCTGGGTGTTGGATAGCTGCCCTAGACTGCAGTGTTTGGTGATGTGTTTTTGTGAGTACGAGCTGCTGACAACTTGAGGAGGTGTGGGGCGGAAGGGGCGGGCACGCACTCTTCATAGAATGAAGGAACGTGGCCAGAGTCAGTACACGAACTCCTCGTCCTGGTAGTTGATGCCTGGTAACGCAGAAACAGCCGGGCTCCAAGCTTTGCCCCCCAAGCCCTAAACCCCTATAAACCCTATAAACCCTGGAAACGCTATAAACCCTTTAACCCTATAAATCCTATAAACCCTGTAAACCCTGTGTAATTCAACCCTATAAACCCTGTAAACCCCATATACCCTGTAAACCCTATCCACCCTAAAAAACCTTTAGAATCTGAGGGATGCGAGATGTAATCCATCGCGAAGAGCCCGCAGGCTCTTCCTTCCCTTCAGCAGCCCCCCGCCCGAGACGCAGCAGCCGAAGGCTCCTGTCGGTTTGTTGAGTCGTATATATATATATATACATACATACATACGCAGATCTCCACACATTCTGAATCTAAGCATGTAAGAGTATCAGAATATTTTGTGACATAATGATATGTTAAAATACAACTTTCAGTACTCAAACTATACAAGTATAAATACAATATCGTCGATAATATCGTATAAGAAAAAGAACTGACCTGTTCAAGGAGAGCGCAGAAGGACGGAGCTTCTTTGGGGCCCATAGCCCTCTTCTTGGGGATTCCCAGCATGCAGGTTTCGAGTGGTTTAGGGTTTAGGTTTGGGGTGGTATTGTAGCCCGATTTCGCAAACATACCCGGATTGGTAGTGGACAGTTGCAAGCACTGGCAACCTTTGCCAGCCCCGCTCCCCCCTACAGATTCAGACAGCGGCGGATTTACCGTCGTCGTCCTGGGTCCTTAGGCAAAACCTGCTCTGCGGTTTCAATTCTCAGCCCTCAGCCCTGAAGGGCTCAACCCTAAACAAAGCCCCTCCCCCAACCGCCAAAACCCAGAACCCTTGGGACTTTGGCGATGTAGGGACCCAAATCCTTGACCGCAAGGTGGCCATGTTCCGCAGCGGACCTGAGTCCAAGGTGCACGTGCCGCGCTCACGGGTTGAGGGTTTAGGGTTTAGGGTTTCGGGGTTTGGGGTTTGGGGTTTAGGGTATTTAGGGTTTGGGGTTCGGGTTTGGGTTTGGGGTTGGGGTTTAGGGCTTAGAGCTTTGGGCTTAAGGCCGTCCCCTTCAACGCGGATCCTCAATTGAAGCATCCGTTGAACAAGGGCGGATGTTGGGGTTTAGGGTATAGGGTTTAGGGTTGAGGGTTGACTTGAAGTGGCGAACACAACTCACGAGTCAAGCGGCGCGGCTGAAGAAACATGCGCCGCCATCATAGACGTTTCATTAGTCACGCAGGAGTTGAACATTGGGCGACTGCGCGTGAAATTCCAACTTGAATGCAGCAGGCACGAGCACCTCGGTCTATGACGTGGTTTGAGCCATAATGAGTTTTCCCCCAACAGCTCGAGCTTTGGAGTCTTCACCACCCCCGAATGAGAAACCACCAAGGTTCGGGACGCGGAGCCCACTCCGAATGATAAACCACCACCACCAAGGTTCAGGACGCGGAGCACCCTGCGAATGATACACCACCAAGGTTCGGGACGCGTAGCACCCTCCGAATGATAAACAACCAAGGTTCGGGCCGCGGAGCACCTTCCGAATGAGGGACGCGGAGCCCCCTCCGAATGATAAGCCACCAAGGTTCGGGACGCGGAGCCCTCTCCGAATGATAAACCACCAAGGTTCGGGACGCGGAGCCCACTCCGAATGACAAACCACCAAGGTTCGGGACACGGAGCCCCCTCCGAATGATAATGCACCAAGGTTCGGGACGCGGAGCCCCCTCCGAATGATAAACCACCAAGGTTCAGGACGCGGAGCACCCTCCGAATGATAAGCCACCAAGGTTCGGGACGCGGAGCCCTCTCCGAATGATAAACCACCAAGGTTCGGGACGCGGAGCAGCTTCCGAATGATGAAGCGCCAAGGTTCGGGACGCGGAGCCCCCTCCGAATGATAAGCCACCAAAGGCCGGGACGCGGAGCCCCCTCCGAATGATAAACCACCAAGGTTCGGGACGCAGAGCCCCATCCAAGAATGATAAACCGCCACGGTTCGGGATGCGGAGCCCCTCCGAAGGCTAAACCTGGACGTGCAAACCCCTTTGTTCGACGAACCTGTGATGAAAAGTCCCTAATGCTGTCAAACACCCTTCAAAACCCAAAGCCCCTTACATCAACGGGGACATAAAGCCAGAAACTCTCTCAGCAACTCCAGAGGCACCGCCAGTGCCGGCGCAGGCCTACGCAGCCACGAAGGGGGCTGCCTTGGCCCCTTGACGCGAATTCTCATTCGGGTGTTTCAAAGAATTAGGGTTTAGGGCCTAGGGTGCCCTTTTTTCGGGGTTCCAGGCCTTCAGCAAGGTGACGAGATGACATCACCACGAACCTTTTATACTGGTATGAAGAATCAGAACAATAATCTTTAAATGAGAAGGGAGAGGGGGGGGGGCGCCAGGTTCAGCCTGCAATGTGCAGCCGGACGCCCAGAGTGGCTGGGAAGCAGGCCGCCTTGAAGGCATCGGGACATGGATCAAGGCGTCCGACATCTGGAGGCGCCTTCAGCGCAAAATAGCAAGTAACCGGTATCATGATGATCATATTGTTCATATAATCATAATCATAGTCACTAATCCTAGTACTCACACTTTCAGAATGATATCAGTAGCGATTAACACATAAGCACAAAAAACCAATAAAGATCCGCCCAAGGTCGATGCCCAGTGCTGAACCTGCAGGCGCAACACCCTCCTCCAGCTGCCAATGCACTCATCGGCTTACCCTGGTAGGGTTATAAGATATATATATGTATATATACATATGTAATATATATATATATATGATCTAGTTTCTTAAATGTATGTCTGTTTATTTGTTAATTCATTTTTATTTGGTTATTTAGTTATTTGTTTCAAATCGCAACAACAATGCAGGTACCCTGTACAACAAGGTAACTTTACACTTCCGCCGTTCCTGACCCTGTGCAGCAAGGTAACTTTACATTTCCGCCGTTCCTTAGCACGAAGGGATTCGTTGCCCTCGTTGCCAGGTCCGTGCGCTGAGCCAGTCCTTGGCTGGACTCGGGGCGAAGACTTTCAATTGGTTGGGAATCCCGGCTTGGGTTTAGGGTTTAGGGTTAAGGGTTTAGGGTGTAGGGTTTAGGGTTAGGGTTTAGGGTTTAGGGTTTAGGGTTTAGAGTGATCTACCCGACGTTGAGGTATCGAGACTGTTGGGGGATGGGATGGCTCAGCTAGGATTTGCGTAAGGGCCTGCGACCCGAATCGGCCAAGCATCTTCCGAAGACCCGAGAGCAAAACCTCGAGGTCCTCGGGCCTCAGCAAGCTCCAGCGAAGAGATCTCGCCGAGGCGGGGTGGTTATGTTGGTTTGTGGTTGTCAGGGTGTTGCGGGTCATGTGCCCTTTGGGCCATAGGTTGGATCCATCTTGTGTGTTCCTCTTTGGAAGCGACACGCCGTTCCTTGGAGAGATGGCATAAGTTACAGATCTCATGTCCACCAGAACCTGAAATGGAACTATTTCGCAGCCTCTTTCATTCTTGTCCAGCCTGACAATCATGAGATCAGAAGCTGGCCGCAGCCCACCCAAATCAGTGACCGTAGATCTCGAGGTGGTGTTGGAGTACTGCAGGCCCGGCGCTTTTGGCTTTGGGTGTTTTTGCGGTGGGCTTTCCCTGTGCCATCGCAAGAGTCATGCCTCATCTGCTTGTCGCCCTCAACCCTAAACCCTAGATGCAGGTTTAGGGTTTAGGGTTTAGGGTTTAGGGTTTAGGGTTTAGGGTTTAGGGTTTAGGGTTTAGGGTTTAGGGTTTAGGGTTTAGGGAGGATGCTCGCACAGACATCATGAGGTGAGGGCTTGTTGACGCTGAATGCCTGAGGAGTCCACTCCAATCTCTATGCCCCCCACTCCCCGAATACTTGCAGTACCCCTAACCCTAAACCCTAAACCCTAAACCCTGAACCCTAAACCCTAAACCCTAAACCCTAAACTGGTGCAGGCCCTGTGCGCATCTGGACCCCACTCTCGAGGCCGGCTGCATACGGAAGGTCGAAACGTAAGGGCATGGTTGCTCTCCTCCTGTTCTTCCTTCGCGGGGTTCGCGGGGTTCGCGGGGTTTGCAATGCATCAAGGCCCTCAACCCCAAAGTGCAGGGTACATCCTCCATAGCCTCAGCAAGTCCCCAATGTCACTCAGCACTCCGGGGATGAGTCACCCGTGGGAAGGACCTCTGCATCGACCTTGAGCAGATCCAGTGGGCCGAGGCCAGGCGCCTGAGGTATATGTCACTTACTGTTGGTTGGTAGGGAACCCTATATCCCCCTATGTATACCCTTTAAGGGAGTATAGGGTGCCTCACTACCTCATTCCCTACTAACCAACAGTAAGGTCAGGGATGTTGAGAGGGTTGAGAATTCATAAGGCTTGAGGGGTCTTCCCCACGAGCTTCTCAGACAAGCTCCGCGCAGTTTCCCGAGCTGCGCTTCCGTTCTGGTCCGATAGGCAACCCAAAAACGAGGCTTAACATTACTATTATGGAATTAGGTACCCAAAACCATACTAAATAGGGTTTTGGGGTACCTAATGCGGCTTAACTTTGCGTCGCCAGCATGTTGTGTTCTGCTGATTGTTCTTCGCCGGCCCAGGTCTCTGGGTCTCCAGCGGCAGTGGGGCGAGAGGTGCCTAGAGCGCGCGGAAACCAGTGCAAGCCTTGAACCGAGTCCTTTGGAAGTGGTATTGTAGGTTCTCTAACTTCTGATTATAGGCCCATTAGCCAGGTTCCCCCCCCCCCCCTCCAAATTTTGAGAACAACAAAAACCATGTGCTTGACCTGCTTCTGAAGTTGCCATGTGCCGTTTGCTTTCGCGGTAACGAAGCATAGGGTTAGTTGCATGTTGTATTAAGAGTTCGGGTCTGGGGGTTGTATTCCCCACTATGTCACCCGAACATGTGGGGTGTGTACCAGGAGGGATCGAAACCCAGCAAGTGCCGGCGGATTCCAGCTAAGGCGCCGGCACCACAGAAGCTCGCCCTCAACTGCTACCCGATGCTTGAAGGGGCACACCATACCAGTAGCTACTTAAACCTGCCGTAAGCTGCTGACTGAAGTTCGCCCGAAGCACCGTTGGGCAAGCAGGCGCCGCCTCCAGCATGGCTCACGAAGGCTCCAGATTCCGCAGAGGACAGAGATCTGCAGTTTAGGGTTTAGGGTTTAGGGTTTCGGAGTCCAAGCTGTGCAGAGAGGAGCCCCTGCGCCGGCCAGTGATGGCCTCGCAAAGGCCTGGGGTCACAAGGTTCTCAGATTTGAGAGTCGGGACGAATATGGATTTATATCATTCTTGCTGCTCATAAAGAACTATCCATCAAGAACTATCAAAGCAAGATGTGCAAATACATGATATACATATATACACACATTGCAGAATAATCTTCGAGGGTGACTTGGGGGGCTGAGAGTCGTCGTCGTAGTAGTAGTAGTAGAAGAAGAAGTAGTAGCAGTAGCAGTAGTAGCAGTAGTAGCAGTAGTAGCAGTAGTAGCAGTAGTAGCAGTAGTAGCAGTAGTAGCAGTAGTAGCAGTAGTAGCAGTAGTAGCAGTAGTAGCAGTAGTAGTAGTAGTAGTAGTAGTAGTAGTAGTAGTGCAAATAGTAATATTACCGCACCTTAAAGCTTTGTCTCTGGCAGGGTCGATCGCCGGCGGCATAGCTCGCCTAGCCATGCGCCAAGCAGAAGCCGACTGAGGGCGTCGCAGAGTGGCTTCAGCTCTGGCGTGTCAGTGGGTTTCCAACCCTAAACCCTAAACACTTGCAGGACTTCCTCAGAAGGCCTCGAATGATGCACGACAGATGGACCGTAAAGCCAGCCAACATGGGGCAGACCCTTGAGACCTCCCTCAAGCTTATCCTATGACATTGCCTTGACGTTTACTGTACATGATGTTGTATTATGTTGTATGATAGTGATTGCTCTTTGTATATTGCAATATCCCATGTTTCTGTTGTTGTATTGTATTCTATGATATTCTATTTTTTTGATGTGGCTAACCAACCGTAGTACAGATACACGTACACACGAACATAGGCCGCAGCACCGAGGCTCGCCTCCCCTCGCGGCACCCGCCGGCGAGTCGAGCGAAGCTCAGGGCGAAGTGCCCTGCGATGCCGAGATGGGAAGGCGACGGTGGGAGCTGCGCAGAGCAGCGGATGTCAGATCTGACAGCTTCGGCATTAGGGCTTCACAGGAGTCGGGTCGCGCTGTATATCGGTTAAAGAGAAGGTGACGCCTTGAGGACGCCTCCACACGTGCACGCGTACCTGTGCGCATGTCGGAGAAGAGTCAACACCGAAACGCCTTCCAATGAGGGTCTGTTCTAAATTGGAGTCCCCTTAACTGCAATGAGGGTTTGGTTTTAGGGTTTAGGGTTTACGGTTTACGGGTTTAGGGTTTAGGGCTTAGGGTTTAGGTTTGCAATCCCCATGTAATGACTGTGTCAGGGCTCAGCGGAAACGCTCCCCTTCACCGCCACCTGCGCTGTCGCCAGCCGTCCACTCTGCCAAGGCTTTGCCGCAGGATCCGTTGCTCTCGGAGTTTAGGGGGGTTTTGGGGTTAGAGTTGGGATGTTCCCCTTATACTAAGAGTCCTTAATAGGGATTATAATCGGGGGTACTATACTCCCTACTAAGGACTGTTAGTCTAAGGGGGAACATCCCAAGGTTAGAGTGTAGGGTTTAGAAAGTAATGTGTTTAGGGTTTGGAATTGACGGTTGGAGTTTCGGTGTGCAGAGGTTGCAGTTGAGTGGCTTAGCGGTGGCGGGTTGCTCTAACTTAGGGGGTCTGGAGGATTCCAAAAACATCTTTTCAGCCACATCCAATGGGCCGTAAAAGGATTCCAACAAATCTTTCCAGGCCCCAAAGAAGGATTCCCAAAGATTGATCAGCCCAACCCGGTGGGCCCACGAAGGGTTTCTAAAGATCTTTCAGAACCACCTGGTATTTGGATTTTTAACTCAACACTATCTAGTTGTTTCATTCCTCAAAGGTGTTGGTAGCTGAGGGGCTGGTGGCAGTCTTTCGGGAAACACATTGTTATGTAGACTTTGCGTTGGGAGAAGTCGATTGATTGTAAACGCTTTCGCGTGCACCCAAAAATTGGTGCTTTTTGAGCGCCCCCTCTATAGGAGCCGCCGACAGGCGGGAGACCCCCCACGGCATCGGTTTGCAGCTCCTCCTAGCAATGGGGGGGACCGGATCCCGTGTCTGCTTGTTCCAATCGCTTCTCGGCAGGAAGCCGAGGCGAACTTAATGCAAGTCCTTAAACCCTAAATCCTAAACCCCACACCCTAAAACCTAAACGTACCTAAACCCTACATAAACCCTAAACTGTACGAAGCTTCGAGGCCAATGCTTATTCGCCTGGCCGCCCCTTCGGGAATTCTATGGTCCAAAATGCCTAAACCGACCGCTTTGTTGGTGCTCGAATGTTTATTTCAAGCAACTATCGCCGTTGCCGATGATAGAGATGCTGCCTGTATGGTCACGAATGCACGGCTACAATTCCTCCTCTCATGCCTTTCCACATCCTGTTTGGTTTCTATATGCCATGCGTTTGTTGTTGCTTTCCAGGCACGCTCGAGGACAGAACCTGCGTTGGCAGGAATGCTAAATAGGGACAAGAATCGCTACTTCCTAAAGTAGCACAAGGCCTCAAACTGGTCCGCCATGAGGTGCGACGCTGCGCAGATCAAAGCGTGTTCCGGCTCCCAAAGCTTGCGTCGAGCAACGAAGTCCCGGGGCGAAACCTCGCTAAGCGATCTTTGAACACCTCATGGGCCCACCCAACTAGGATTTACATTCCAGGGAATAGCCTTAAACCGTCCTAAACCCGAAACCCGAAACTGCCATGCCGAGTTGAGAGCCCAGCACAGGATGCGCAGTCCCTGCGGCTGCCGCCCGATGAGGTCGGCGACTCATGCCATAGCCGTAGAGAAGGTTTTTGTTTACTGTTATGAATATTGCTGAGTACGACCACTTGGGGTTGTTCTACGTTAGGGATCCCTTAGAGGCCTTAGAGGTTGCTTTCGACAGAAGTTAGCCTTGCGAACAGAAGGATGCCATCCCCAGCAGCAGGCACATGATCGGGTACAAGAGATGCTACAACAGCGGCTGCAGCAGATCTTGCAACGAGGACGGCCCGATGTCCAGGTTTCTGTAGAGACACCCGACTAGCTCACGCGCAGATGGAATCCAGATAAAGCAAAAAAAACTAGGGTTGGCCAGGGTTGGCCTGATTGCCCTGATTGCCCTGAGACTACTTGATCAATCGTTGAGTTCAGACGCCAAGCGACATGCAGCCTACGTTCGACTTGTACTGTACAGGAGCCAAAGGACCTGCCAATAAGTATCCCTTGCATCCCCATGTAGTTGTACAATATATGCACTACCCAAAGTACCGGGCCTACTCAAATTGGGCCCCCATTTTGGAATTATCACTGCAATGCCACACAGCTCCTGGGTAGGATGTGTTCACCTTTTCCCTTGCAATTGAGTTCGAGGTTGAGCGCATTCAGAAGGAAAGACACCTCAATCCCGATCTCACCAAGACCATCCCACCACGGTACGTAGGGCTACTATAGGATGTGGATGACTACGCTCGCAGGCAAAGACGGCAGCCCTTTACATCTTATGCTCTTTCGGGACCTAAGAATCAAACAAAAAGGAGTTTGAAAGCCTTCAACCCTATCAACCCAACCCCTCAACCCTCAAGCCTAAACCCTAAACCCTAAACCCTAACCCCTAAACCCCTAAACCCCTAAACCCCTAAACCTCTAAACCCCTAAACCCCTAAACCCCTAAACCCCTAAACCCCTAAACCCTAAACCCTAAACCCCTAAACCCCTAAACCCCTAAACCCCTAAACCCCTAAACCCCTAAACCCCTAAACCCCTAAACCCCTAAACCCCTAAACCCCTAAACCCTTAAACCCCTAAACCCCTAAACCCCTAAACCCCTAAACCCCTAAACCCCTAAACCCCTAAACCCCTAAACCCCTAAACCCCTAAACCCCTAAACCCTAGACGAAACCCTCAGGACAGCAGGAGCGCTTGGACGTGGCGAAGCTCCAGGAGTCGGGAGCCTGGTGGGGAGGTTGGGGTGGCTGCCTAGAAGGAGTCTGTAGGGTTTAGGGTTTAGGGTTTCGGGTTTCGGGTTTCGGGTTTCGGGTTTAGGGTTCGCACCGAAGCTCCCCAAGATGCCCTCTGAGTTTCGTTTTGTCTCCGTCCTGGCTCTTTGTCTGAACTTGACAGCCGTGGACGTCAGAAAGCCCTATGAAGCCCTTTACAAAACCACAAACCCAAGTAGGGTTTAGGGTTTAGGGTTTAGGGTTTAGGGTTTAGGGTTTAGGGTTTAGGGTTTAGGGTTTAGGGTTTAGGGTTTAGGGTTTGGTGAGAGTCCGACAGCGAGGCTTCAGCAGCTTCTCGCGGGCCTTGGGCAGTGCGCGGACACGGCGCTCGGGGTCCCAGAGGTTAGAGAATCCATATCTGCGTTGGGGCGAGCCTGACAGGGTTTAAGGCTGGCTGGTTCTTAGTAGGGAATGAGGGAAGGAGGTACCCTATATTATCGTGTATCAATACTTCCCTCATTCCCTACAAAGAACCAGGGGGTAGGTAGGAGTTAAGGAGGCTTCTGCTCCCTGTCTCAGCCTCAGGCAGGCGGCTCAGACCGTTCAGTCGCCACGCTGGTCGCAGCAGTCGCCGCGTTCCCCGACGTCGCCCTCGCGACAGGCTGCCATTCCGAGGGTGGAGATGGCTTTTGAGGGGAGAGGTTTAGGACCTCAACACGATGAGCCCCACGAACTTCAACACCCGATCAGCCCTATTTAAACCCTACCATATGCCCGCTTGAAGTCTTCAAGAGAGCAAAATCGGCTTGCTTGTCCTACTTCCAGCGAATCAGGGAAGTCTCGCCCAGCCAAAGAAAAGAAACCTAGGAGGTTTCCCAAGTCCTGGCTGGTGAAGACAAATCAGCCGGCATCGTTCCTTCTGAAGTTGCTCGGAGCCGGTCAAACAAAAGGTCGTTCCCCCCCCAACCACACACCCCACACCAAGAGACTTCTGACACCTGGCGTAGAACCATCAAGAAGGACAGCTGGAAACCGCGGGCGCTCGGAAATCCATAGCGGCGAGAGTAAACTAAATTGAGGGAGCCCATATGGTTACCAATCCTATCCACCTCGTTATGCTGACATAGTGGTTTGACTAACATACACACAACCACAATACCCATTCCAGGTCAATAGGCCCCTACAGTGCCCTACAGTATCCCGGCTTGCAATGCTTCAGTTGAGTTGGAACTCCATATACCATTCAAAGCCCTCCCCCACCTTCCGAATCGGACATGTAGCTCTCCAGACACAAAGACGAACAACCCCACAACCCACAACCCACAACCCTAAACCCTAAACCCTCTACCCTCTAAACCCTAAACCCTAAACCCTAAACCCTAAACCCTAAACCCTAAACCCTAAACCCTTAAAATCCCCAAAGCAGGAGCCTCCACCGGCATGCCCGCAGCCGCCCTCCACGCCCCGACCGGCCACCCCGCCGGCGGCGCCCCATCACGCGGGGCTTCCACTGCTGGTGCCCAGGCTCCAGGGGCTCGAAGAGTGGAAATCCGGAAATCCCCTTCCTTAGGTGAGTAAAAATTCAACCACCCCCATTGTCCGTCCGTGACTCTTGCAGTCTTGCAATGTTCTACTTGTCATAGTTGCTTGTTGTTACTACTATTTCTTGTTCTTCTTCTTCTACGACGACTACTACCACCACAGCGACCCCTATTTGCCACTCCAGCTTCTTAGTCTTGCGGTGCATAGCACCCTCGAAGGTTAGTCCTGAATCCAGAGAATCATTGCAATGATCATGCATAGAGACTTAGAGGTCCCCATCTTTTCTCTTCGTGCGAGCGGTGAAGTTACTGGGAGGTAGTGCAAACCGCAAAGAGCAGATGGTGGAACATGTTTTTCACCTGAGCCGTAGTATCAGGGTGAGCTGTGGCATATTGATTTCTGCATCCAATTTACGTGCCCGGTACCCCACAAAGGGACCCACCTATAGCTTCATCGCCCAAACCCTCTCGTCAGTGTTCGTCGTGGGAGGCAGCAGGACCTGCCGCCAAGACACCCCCCGCACCTGCAGGTCGTCTGGGCATGAATGTTCAGTCCCGTCGTCCAGGGCAACAAATTAGGTTTCGAAGGTTGAGGGCTGATCTCATTTTTGTCGGGGGGGTTGGGGGGGGGGCGAGGGTTAGGGTGTTTAAGGTTTAGGGTTTGGGGGTCAAGACGCAGTACTGCAGCTGCAATGTGCAAGCGGTTCATCACACTGAGGGAACTCGGTTTAGGGGAGGAGCAAGCTGAACTCACACAAGCAATGTCGCACCCTAGTTCGGCTTGTAAAAATGAATGCCTTTCTGCAACTCATTGGCCGGAAAACTTCTCTTGATTCAAAAGCCTTGACTGCGGCAGATAGCG